AAGGTTTCTGCCAGTGGCTTGCTCGTTACCTGAAATATTCGTCGATAGGGCTGCTCGTCACCCGAAGCTACACTGTATATCTATTTGCCGCGCCCGATCTCGCCCCCGGTCTTCTTTACACCGGGCTCGGGCGGATGAGGAAAGAGAGAGTGCGATAAATGCTGCGCAAGTCTACTACCACTTAAAACCAATCCACACGCAAGTCACCGTCCCTGCACCACCCTGTTATTGAGCATACAGTGGACATAATCGCAATCGGTGGTTCAACTGGTGTGTCGACAGACAGAATGCGTGGTTGTTCAGCACACTGGCTGCTTGCATATGTTAGTAAGGTTACCCTCAGTCTGCACCTGCTCAAGTCAGATACTGCCCTCGCCCCATGACCGATTCATTGGAGGGTATGGGTTGACTACTAGTGCGTAGAAGAGGGAGAAGAGAGTTGTCGGTACTCACGTACCTCCCCCCCCTCATGGCAATTCAGTACGATCAATATGAAGATGCGCTAGCAGTCGCGACTTGGAAGAGGACCAACTGACAGGATCACTTGTTGCTACTCAGATCTGACAGTCAGGCTGCAGCGGTCCATTTTATTATGGCTCTTGGGACATTCTCCCACTTCTGTAGCCCCCGAGAGAGTTCCCTGTTTCTTTTAAGCCTGTTTCGCGTGGTGTCAGAGACTAGGTTGTGTGGCTTGCACAGGCGAACTGTTCAGCTTTGCTAACCACTGAGCCCGCATCCATATAATGTGGTCCTGACTTGGGTTTGCTACTGAAATACACTGCGTGTTGGAGGAGAGAACGAAGTGGATTTAGTTTTAGAAGTAAATGTCCGCCTTTTTGTAGGCATGTTTATTTGAGAATGGCCACAGTGCTCTCTTCGAACCAACCACGGCCGTCATCATTTGAAACGCTAAACTGGAATCAAAGGACGCTTAAGTATCTTTCTTTGCCGCTCGCTTTCCTCTGCTTCCACTATGCTGACCGTTATAGGCTCTTTCTTGCTGGGGCACAATCAGACGTCAGTTGGTGTTCCTTTCCTCTGATGAGCATGACTTACAACAGCTCAGAAATTTGGCTTGGCTTTGATGGTTCCTTGTTCCTCTGTCTTTTCTGTGTCACGGGACCTAAAGGGCGGCACCATATTTAGTTGCACCTTATATTTAACTATTGAACCAATAGAATTCCCGTAATTCCTTAGATAAATTTTCCAACCTGTGACTTTCACAGGCGGTCTTTCCTTCACTTCCTGACGCTCTTGCGAGGCCTACCCACACCACTTCCTCGCCAAGAAATATAATTTTTTAACAAGCCCCCTTTCGGCCTTTGAAGTTTGACCGCAGTGCGGGCGCGAACTGCCAATTTTTTCTTACTTTAATCCAATTCAATCAATTATCCGTTCGCGTCTGCTCCAGCTGCTTTTTCTGACATTTCTATTTTCCCTTTTTTAGCTCTGCTACAATCACCTCCCAAGAGCTCTCGTATGGAATTGGATGACAATGCCATTGGGGGAATAATAGGTGCTGTCTTTGTTCTTCTCATGATATGCTGTGTTGGACCGTTTTCCTTCCTGTACTGGTGAGTCAACTGCGCTTACCTGTGAGCATATCGGTAGTGGCATTTTTTTTTCTGTTACCACATGGTTTCTCTTCTCCTGCTCTGTTCGATGTAGTCGATTTATGTTACTCGATTTTGCGTGCACTCCTATGCTGTCATCATTCTGACCTGACAATATGATTTTGGGGCGAGCGCTTCCCTTTGGTTGTCTGGTTTGTCTTCTGTTTTCGACATTCTGCACAAAAACGTTAACTGTCAAATTCACTACCCTCAGTGGTTGCCAAGTCATAATTTTTTTTGCCAAGTCATGGATGTCGACTATCATATTTCTCCGATATATTTACTAACAGTGGACGTGGCTGTGGTCAGTACTGTTGTATTTGATCCTATTCGTGGTTTTTTGGCTACTACATTTTCAGGCCCTTTGTCTTCAACTGAACGTTTTCCTTACTAAGAAGGGTTGTGTAAGTTTGGTTGTCGAATTTCTACAGTTGGTAGCGCTCCCATTCTGTTCGTCTTCTGGGCGGTACTCTTTAGATCCTAAACTTTTGTCTTCCATCTACCTCGTACTGTCTCCTCGGTCCGAAAAATTAGCAGTGTTATTCCAACTGGGATACTTGGTAGAGTTTAGGTCATATGGGTCATACCTTGGTCTCGGGCACCTATGTTCTCTTTAAGACAAAGTCACAAGAACATTCGCAGTTTCGATCTGTAATCGGCCTTCCTGTTATTTCGAAACCTCGTCAGTTTGCGAGACCTCAACCTCCTCCTACCCCCCTTAAAGGCATTCTGGTTACTGCTCCGCGGCTGTTTCTTTGCGATTTTTGGGGTTGGATTTGGCTTCCCCACACTACGCAAGGTAGACCGCGGGTACACCTACGTTGACCCGGAACCCATTTACCTTTCTTGGCGATGCACCGGTTTTGCAGCCAAACCTACTCTTCTTCAAATGTTCTCTTCCTCTTAGGCGATCGTCATGCAACTACAAGGGTTACGAGGTTGCGCGTCTGAACGGCGATGCGGGCGATCAGCGGACACCTCTGGTGTTGACAATGATGCGCTTTGAAGATTCACCACACGAGCCTATTCCGGCCGCGGACTTGCCTCAACGCGTTGCCCTCTATCACGCGGATGAAGATGCAGGCTATCAGGCGGAGTTTGAGGTTTGTAATCTACAACGCTCTTATCCTGATAAAAATTGCGTTGCTGGTGTCCATTTTAGTATCGGAAATCTGCTTTTTACATCCTGCATTTTTTCAACAATGAGTCTATTCTCACAGATTCCTACCTGACTAACGACAGTGAATTAGGGACCGCGATGCCATTGTAATTCTCAATATCATTACTAGTTATAAAAGAACGGTTGCAAGTTATTCAAGCGTGCCCTACGTAGCTACCAAATTCTGCACCTTAGATTGATGGAATTGCTAAAGGCTTGGCCAATGATCGCATAGAATAGGTCATACTGTTTAGCGTGGCCCTGTCTTCTGCAGCTGACAAACTCAGTTGCCTAAGTTGAACCAGTTATGAAAAGTTCGGCGGCCGTGGTAGGATTCGATGCCACAACAGGAAGAGGAAGGCTTGAGCACAATCAATGCTCCAGCCACCTGATCTACGAGGCCCTACCAGAAGCGTGAGTGTGCTCACTTGTAGAAAGTTAACTGCCCCCCACTGCAAATTATTGAATCCACCAATTTTAATACAGTAAACTGACTGCATAAACGGGATTTCCTAACCAATAAATTTGGAATTCACGAGATAAATAACATGTAAAATTACTTAGTAGGGTGTTTTGGCAGATTTGAATAATTCCTTTGATCCTGTCGTGGAATACTTGGTGACTGGCTGTACTAACACCTTCCCCTTGCTGTTAGGAGTTCGAATAACACCGAGGTCGTCGAGTTTTTCACAACTGAATCAAACAGTATATTCAACTCTACCAACACCCCCTTTAAACCCAGTTAGATAAATGTATTAGACGATTCGAAATGAGTGGTTTCTACGCTGAAAATTCAAGAGATAGGAAAATGCATAAATCCAGCGCTGGCGTTGGTCGAACCGGGACATACATTTGCATTGA